ACATGCACCTTGGGAGTCAGTTGGTGATGGCTTAAGTACTTGGGTCCCTGCCACACATGGAGGAAAACTGGATTAAGTTCTGTCTCCTGGCTTCAGTCTGACTCAGCCCTGTGAAGTCAATCAATGGATGGAAGATATAATCTCTCTCTCTTTCTCTCTCAAATACAGATAACTATTTTTAAAAGGTTAAGGTCAAATGTGATTAATTTGAAAATGTATTTAGAACATTAATCTGTTTTCAGGTTAACATGGACAAAAATTACTATTTAGAAGTATTTATTTCTCTTAATTTTAACACTTCCCCTGTTTTATCCAGTGCAACCACCAAAACTTCACTTTGATAAATTTTATCACCTCCAAAGCTAAATAATCGCTTACAACTCTATGTCTCCAGAAAAGTTCTTCCAAAAACCTCTCTTAAACTGACTTAAATTTGTATTTTTACAAAACAATGGAAACTTCAGGCCATTTCCAAATACATCTTTCTACCCTTTACTACCTCTTAATCTCTTTTTATGTTAGCCTTACACCTGTAGAAACTATAGATGCCTATCACCTTTCATATTTTGTTTCCTTCCACCTTCTCCTTGTATTATTTTACTTTAATCTCCTCTTATGGAGATTATCTCAGGTAAAATGAGCCATGACTTTTGTTTTGCTCATGCTCAAAAAATAGCAGCAACAAAAAAGGCATACAAGTGTATGTTAATGTCCTCAATGCCCATTTCTAATTAAATTACATGTCTGACTTCAATTAATATACTAATCTCTTACTGTTATGTTCACTAGGTTACATTACATTATGTTGCTTAAGAAGACTGCACATTCCCTTGCTTCTAACTTATTTCCAGGAAGCTTTCAACTAATTTGTTTTCCTTTTCCCATATAAGGTCCTAATTTTCTCCTCTGTTTTTCTTAAATAGGTTCCCATATTGCAAAAGTGGATTAATTTACTTGAACAGACCAGTGTGATGTGTTAAAGAAGATGTAGGCCATCACACTTTACTACTTGAAATTGGAAAAGACATGGTTTAAATTCATAAAAGTCTGAAATCACTTAATATCCTTAGTAACCTTATGAGTAATAAGCATAAAAATTTGAAAAGCATTAAACAAACATAAAAACTAGATCCATCTTAGCTGTTATTAACCATTTATGAAATCACTTTCTCTTTTCCTAAGGTTCTACATTATAAAAAGAAGGAATTCATGATTCCTACCATTGCTTCTGCTTCTGAATGCCTAGGTTCCTTTAGGCATATAATGCAATTTCAGCCATGAATTCTAATGTGACACATAAACACCTGCATACATACACACATGCACACACATACATACACATGCATCCAACAATACTGTTAAGGAAAACTTCCAGCTTTCTAGGGGTAAAAACTGAATACAGAAATTAAAAATAGTCATTTTCATGCACTGACAGTAGAAGAGGAACTAGTATATCTCTTCCTGAAAGTCAATGTGACATTACCTATAAAAATTAGAATGCAGAAGCTCTTAAAATACAGTATTTACACTTCTAGGAATCATGACCATTGCATGACTTGTACATTTACATGAACACGTTTGCAGATTATATATTGCAACAGAAGATATAATATAGTATGGATGCAGTTCATACTCAACCAGCCCAAACAGGAATCCTTGGGTTCCACTGAACAGAATTGGCAATCTAGTTTTCCATATCATGGTAAACGGCCACAGTTGGTCAAGTCAAATACCAAGGACTCACTATTCATTCCTCCTTCACAGCAAGTCCAATAAAGAATCTTATCTTTTTCTTCTTAAACACATTGAAATTCAGTCATCCTTTGGATCTCTACTGCTACCACCTCGGTCTCAGCCACCTTCATCCCTCACCTGGCCTTTAGAGAAAAGCCTCCTGAGGGGATGCTGAGGTACAGTGGATTAAGCTGCTGCACGGTACACTTGAACCCCATATCAGAGTTCCACCTCTGCTTCCCATCTAGCTGTCTGCTAATGCTCCTGGGAAGCAACAAATGATGGAACAAGTACATGGGTTCCTATCACCCATGTCAGAGACTTGGATGGAGCTGCTGACTGCCCCTGGCTGTTGTGACATTTGAGTTGTGAATCAATGGATGCAAGATCCCTCTCTGTCTCTCCCTTGGTCATTCTGCCTTTCAACGGATAAATAAGTACAGTTTTACAAAAAAAAAATCATATCCTTAAAGAAATATATCTCGTGAGTGATATCTTCCCATTTACTCTTTTTAAAAATTTTTATTTAAAAAAAAGTAACAGATGTATGAGAATTATAAATATTTATGGGGTGCTATGTGATGTTTTATTACAGATATACAGAGTGAAATGTCCCAAATGATCCAGCAATCCCACTCCTGGGTATATATCAAAGGGAAATGAAATCCATCTGTTGAAGAGACATCTGCACTCCCGTGTTTTTTCTGCAGCACTACTCACAATAGTCAGAAAATGAAAATAACCTATGTGTGGATCTATTGATGAACAAATAAAGAAAACATGGCACATGCACAGTGAATTAGTACTCAGCCATCAAAAGGATGAAATTTTGCCATTTACACTTGCCTTTTGGAATCACAGAAGCCAAAATGATCATTTTAAAACACAAATAAGATCATGCACTGCCCTGTGTCAACTAGGCCATGACTTTGCATTGTCAAAGCAAAATCTAAATACCTCACTGGCATCAACCTGCCTCTCCAAGTTCATCTCGTGCCACACTCTCTTGTGCTTTGACTATGATGGCCAAAATTGACAATTCCCAAAACCTACCAAGCTCTTCCCTACTACGAAGCCCTTAATCACATTCTTCTCCAGCCTGGAAAGTAAACTCGAAAGCTGGTTCCTCATTACCAACTAATTACTAAAGTACTGCCTTGGCCCACCTGTATACCCTTATGTGTACTTCATACTACTTGTTCCCTTCATCCACTCATCTCATTCATCAGGTACCTTGTGTGCTGAATTGTGTATCTATTCCCATGCAGATGGCATGAACTGTTTTCTTGCTGTATCTCAGCTCCATACCAACAAATGTTCAGTGTATGAATGGCAGTATAACAGCAACTCGAGTTTTTCCTTTAATTTGTCACAGATAAGCTATTGTTTGAGTTATGAGTCAATGTATTTGGAGAGGAAATTTTACAGATCAGTCAACTGCCTTATCTAATCTATTTCAATAATCTATTTAAGTAACCAAAAAGGTCAGTTTTATCAAGAATTCAGTGACAACCTGCACAGTGTAAAATAGCATACAAAAAGTGTATGATCTGGCTTCAACTATCTCCTTAGCTTTGTCTCTAGCCATCCACACAATTTAACCTATGGCCATTTCCACTGGGAAATATAAATTGTTCAAGTTGGCTGTAACACCAGGTGTACATAGCAAAAGAGGAAGCCAAAATAGCTCAAGATAGATCAGGCTGTTGTACTGGGAGAGATGTTTATGTTTTAGTTTACAGAGTCAGAGATTTTGAGCAAAGTTCCTGTGTTTACTTTAAAAACAAGTAGGACACATGATTTTAACATGAAAGGCAAGGGCCGAGACACAGCACAAAGATTACCAGCTAAATGCTATGAAGCCCAGAACATTTTCATTATCAGAGGATCAGGATCTCATTTTCTTGTATGGCAGATTAAAATTTAGATTTCCATTACCATTCAGATTTTAAGAGTGATGTACTAAAGCCGATGCTGCAATATTTGACTAGTTTTTAAAACTAACCCCAGTGAGACATGGTTAAGTTTTCTTTATGCAGTCTTGTTCAATCTTGGATAGTGTACCTGAACCTACATGAGCATTCTTTCCACTGATAACATACTCTCCTTGTCTTAGTCATTCCAAACTCAGCCATATTTTATAAACTCCCTCTATTCATCCAACTACTTGCATATTCGATTCTCATTTCTAATATGAACTCTACTTACCTAATAAATCCAGAACAGCAAAAACCATGCTGCATAGTAGATACATGTTATTGAGAATATTTAACAATTTTTAAACATGCTATTTCAGAATAGTTTTAAGCTAAAACAAAAATATGGCACAGTGATACAAGAGTTCTCATATATCCCTCACCCATTTCCCCTATTAATATCTCACATTAATATCTTTTCTCCATTTCTTCCAATTCTATAAATGAGAAAATGATCTAGAGATTACCACCTTACTTTTTAATATTAATACAAAAATATAGCACTCTTAACTTTTTAAAAAATAATGTCTAAAGAGCAGCAAGTTCTAATTCTCCATTCTCTCCTTACTGTAAACTTTTCTCCAGTGACAACCTCTGACAGCTTCTAAATTTGTAATCATCTGACTTTGTTCTTAATTACTTCAATATTTGCTATTAAACATCCCAGGAAGAACATGAAAACTTTTAAGGACTGCTTTCACTAGCACATTCCTCTAGCTCTATGATTTTTGTTTTTCCTATTAAAATTTATTCTTTGAAAACTAACTTAGATAATCAAGTCTTCTGAGTCTTGGGATAATGCACTTCTTCATCTAACCAGAGCAACACTACATGCCGCTCTAAAGTTTTGTGGCTCTAACCACAGTCCAGTTGGGCTGGCCTCAGTTCTCAGGAAATGTCCTCCCTACAAGTGTCACCTCTCTTCATTGTTTCAAAACAAGAGCAAAAACACCCAGGGTGCAGAGCACAGGTAACAAAAGTACAAAAAGAAATACTACAGCTCTCAAAACCCCAGGGAGGTCACACCACCAGTAAAGGACAGATCATCATCTCTTCTTGGAGAACCAGAATCAGAGGATTAAAAACTGGGAGAACCACAGAAGCAATGAACAATACACAATCCGCCATTAATCTCCTACCTCACATGATTCACGTAACCAACAAAGCAGTGAGCAGTGGCTGAGACTCAGATCCTCACCCTACAGTACGAGTGAACTGCAATATAGAGTTAACTTCCTCATTTGCCTCTTCTTGAGATAAAAACCAAACAAAAGCACAACAGAAACTTACCTTCAAAAATGGATCCCAAATGATATTGTCCACTGAAAAACTGTGGCAATGAAAATACGAGTGCTCCCAGTCCTATCATAAAGGATGCAAATGCCAGCCACCTGGGCTTGTGTCCTCTCTCACCAATGAATGAGACAAATAAAGACAACACACAGAATGAGATATCATAGCTTGACGATATCAGGCCCGTAAGAGAACTCTTCATTTCATAGCGCTTCTCAATCGTGGAAATGCTAATATTTACGAGGCCATTTACCACAATACCTAAAAGAAAGCAAAGGAAATGCATATGCATTATTACAACTTTATCATATACATTACTATTCTTAACCAATGCATTGGGGCCAGCATTGCAGTGCAGTTGGTCAGGCCTTCACCTGCAATGCTGGCATCCCATATGAGCATTGGTTTGAGTCCCAGCTGATCCACTTTTAGATCACCTTCCTACTAATGCACCTGGGAAATCAGCAGTAGATGGCCCCAGTACTTGGGCCCCTGCAATCCACATGGGATGGAGCTCCTGGCTTTGGCCTGGCCCAGCCCTGGCTGTTGTGGCCATTTGGGGAGTGTGCCTATGTGTATCCCTCCCTCTCTCTCTGTATTTCTATCTTGCAAATAAGTAAATAATTTTTTTTAATGTGCTAAAGTTTGGTTTTCTGTTTGCTTAGTTTTAAATGTGCCCATTTTAAAACTTTCAAAGTTCAGCAACTCAAACATACTTCCTTGAAAATCAGTTTGTTTTTTAAATTATTTATTTGTTAATTTCCAGGTGTTCGACAAAACTGATGATTGCCACATACTAAACTGTAGTTAACTGGCCTTACTTTACTTCTCTTTAAATGACAAACACAAAGTCAGACTCATACAGTCCCAGGAAGTCAGTTTGCTGAACAGATTTCAAGTGTAGTGTACTCCTGTGCACCTCACTGGGAAGAGTACAAAAGGTACTAGTTCAGTTATGCTCAATTGCTCCCCAAGTTACCTAATCCTTAAGCATACTTATCTATTACAAGAGACCATCTTAACTTAGTCTCAACAAGGGAGAAATTGAGTCATCAACCTTTTCTTAGCCTAAGACATCTTTTTTTCTAACAGTCTTATAGTGTTATCATTTAAAAGTTTTGAGCAAAAATAAACTAAGTTTTATTTCAACCACTCACATTCTAAATCACAAAGTAAAAGGGAGGGTCAAGTATTTGACACAGGGGTTAAGATACAATTTAGGAGACCGGCGCTGTAGCACAGCAAGTTAAAGCCCTGGTCATCAGTGCTGGCATCTCATATGGATGCCGGTTCAAGTCCCAGCTGCTCCACTCCTGATGCAGCCAAGTCCTTGGGCCCCTCTACCCACGTGGGAGACCCGGAAGAAGCTCCTGCCTCCTGGCTTCAGCTCAGCTCAGCTCTAACTGTTGCAGCCATTGGGGAGTGAACCAGCAGATGGAAGATCTCTCTCTCTCTCTCTTTGGCTCCACATCTCTCTGTTAACTGGGTCTTTCAAGTAAATAAAATAAATCTTCAAAAAAAAAAAAAAAAAGCACCATTTGGGACACCAGCATCCTCTGTCAGAATGCCTGGATTCAAGTCTCTGCTATTCTTCCTTTCCAGTGTCCTGCTAATATGCACCCAGGGAGGCAGCAAAGTGATGACTCAAGTACTTGGGTCCCTATAATTCAAGTGGATGAATCCAGGTGTTAAAGCATTTGGGGTGTGAATCAGCAAATGGAAACTCACTTTCTCTTTCTCTCTCCCTGTCATTTGCCTTTCAAATAAATAGGTAAATAAATAAATAAATAATCTCTTTAAATAAACCTCTTCAAACAAAAGGTAAAAGAAAAAATACATATTTCATTTGCTTATTATAATTATAATGAAGGTTTAATAGAAGCTAAACAGGAGAGACTGAAAATCCAATTTGGATGGATCTCAAAATGTCCTGTCTACATATAAATAACACAGGAGTTTAAAACAAGGGTATTAACTGAAAATACAATGCCTATAAGCAAATTTTCACTGGTTTTTCCTCTTACTTGAGGCACTATGAATTGTTTTCACTCTTTAGTTGAGTACAATTCTACACATTGCATGATCACTACAGTTTCTTTAACTGTTGCTTTATCAAGACTGTAATGGAAAATATATTTCAATAAAATTGATATAGCAATTTTTAAAAGACATAACATGATTTTTGCTTTTATGCCAATATAGTAACACTATAAACCAATTTAGAATTCCTGAAATTTCAAGGTAAACATAAAGGGCCCAGGAATGACACTTTTATAAGGAGATAAATTTATCTGATAACATGAAAATCTTTCCATCCAAAAAAAAAAAATCAATTTCCCAACACACCTGACACACTGATTAAAAATCAGTCATAAGGAATCATTGCCTTGATGGTAAAACTTCCTTTTGAAAAACTTGAATTTGAAGTTCCCCTGGGAGAATAGCATTATAATCCTATGAATTCCAAAGTGAATTCTAAGTTATGCACCTCCCAAGAACACTGCTTTAAAATTTTTTTTAAAAAACCATGAAATACCAAAAATCACATCTCTCTATTGTTAATGCATGAAGATAGGAAGTACTTTGGGAAATTAAGTGCTAAGAGAAACCTATTTTGTCTTTGAGAAACGCCAGCTTAAATAAAATAAATGCATTTGATGTGTTTTTGTTTTTCTTCCAAAAGATATCTATTAATACATAGTGGAAATAGTCTTCCCAAGGACTCTGAGAAACAGGGCAACAGTATTTTGCAGTCATTCAAACTTGACCTGAAATATGAATTAAGTGATCCGTCACTTTTATCTGAAATTATGCTTGCTTAATTGGTAACCTCCCAGTAGACTCCGCTCCAAGCTAAACCCGTGACTTTTTCTATGAATGCCAATTATGTTTGACAAGGAAACGATATTTTCTGTTGAATATAAAACGACATGTTCTGGAATAATATATACATTTCAGAGTAAACTGTATGATAAAAAACATTTTTAATTCAGTGTCCAACTTTCTGCATTTCATAAGCTTTGAACACTAAGATGCCTCACTGTCACTCATCTTAGACAACTGACATCAAGGCGGAACCTGCAGAACACTGACCTTCAGCAGGAAGTACTTACCTAACACAACACTAGCAAAGCTGGGAGAGCTTGGTGCCTTGGGCAGCACTAAGAACAGGAAGTATCTACTTTGATTTCCTTTTTTATCAACTTAAGACTGGCTTACTTTCATATGAACTTCATTTTTTTTTTTAAAAAAAAGCAATTTCCAACCCTTCCCCCCAAATATTCCTTGGGTTGCAATTCTCCCAGGCAATCCTTGATTGTTTATTTACAACATATTTTGAGACGGTGACTCAAGGGACCTGAAGCATCAAACCTAACCAAAGTCAAAGGAAGCCCTGGGCGGGCGAGACCCCACGTGCAGCGCGCCTCAGTGGGTCCCCTGCACCCACTGCCCTCTCTTCCATCCCGGCTCTTACCGCAAAGAGAGCCGTCTCCCTGCACCGCATCCCTCTCTCCCGCAAACTCAGCGTAGACTGAGGAATCCCCAGGGCCAGGGCGCGTAAACCTCGACTTGATCCGTCAACTCCCGGGAGAACAGACAAGAGGAGATCGTGGAATAAACAGGTCCCGGCCCACTCCCGTAGCCCGGGCGCGCGAAGGCGGCTCCCTCACCCCCTCCGCCTTCCCTTTCGGAACCGGGGATGCGGGCGTCCCTTTCACACCTCAGATTTTTAAGTAGTTTTTTCCCCCCACCCTCCGTTGCCAATTCATGAATGGGTGAGTCCTTCTGAAATACCTCCAGAAACGACAACCATAATAATAACAATGATAATGATAAAACCCGCAGAAAAAGGCTCAGCAGGCTCGCGGCCGCTGGAACGCACTCGCTGCCCCAGGTGTCCGGCTCCCCGCGGACAGATTCCTGTCATCCCGCCCCGGAGCGAGGACCGCCGCGCGCTACACTGAGGCGGCCGGCGGCGGAGGACGGGCTGGCCCCGCAAGTTTGTAAAACGCGCGGTCACCGGCGGGCGGCGGGCTGCTGGGCGTGGGTCCCCCTCGCACCTGGCGCGGGGCGCGGGGCTTTTACCTTGCGTGAGGGCCAACAGGCAGTAGTGGAGCAGGAAGCCGCGGGGCGTGTTGCAGCGCTGGAGACACCGAGGGTGGAAGTTCCTCCACCCGCACGGCCCCTCCTCAAACTCGGACCGCGACGGTGGCCCCGGCGGTTCCGCCGAGGCTGGGGGCGCCTCCGGGGACTTGGGCTCCTCCTGCGGCCGCGACTCGGCTCCCTGGGCGTCGGAGGACGCGACGGAGACCTGCACCTGGGAGGGCGACGGCGACAGGCGACGCGACGTGTCGGGGCTGCAGGGGACGAAGGCCGGGTTCTCGATGCCTTGGGCGCCCTTCATGATCAGGTTGGCTTCTCCCGACTCCGGCGCCGCGGAGGCGCGGGGCAGTCAGGTTCCTCTCTGGCTCCGCCCCCGGGCAGGTGACAGCGCCCCCGTGCGGGAGGACGCCCGCCCGCCTCCTTGCCCCCGGACGCCGCCGCCCTGGGCCTGCGGCCGCAGTTCGCGGTTCCTCACCTGTGGCCTCTGGGGCCGGCTGGAATGCAGGACTGAGCGTGTGCGGCCCCCGGCGGCTCCCGGGCGACCCGCGGAGAGTCCGCAGTGCCCCGCCGGCGCCGCCGGGGCTGGGAGCGGAGAGGGCGGGAGTCTGCGGCCCCAGGCCCTCCACCGCCCCCAGGGTGCTGACAGGGACGCTGGTAGACACAGTAGGAGTCCGTAGGCCTGTGGAGACCACAGCCTGAATATCCTTGCTCTGCCGCTGGCCAACGCGGCCTGAGGCTGGACGCCAACAAGAGTCCAGCAGCCGCATGTGTCCTGCTTTGGATTCCATGAACTTCAGGATGACTGATGTGTCAGCCGCCCCGCACTCCACCCCCGCATCACAGGGTAACCGTCATTAACATCATAGCAGAGCCACGTGTGTTGGTGGAACAGAAACTGAAGGCATAGACATGAAGAAACCTGAGAAGCACGTATGGGACCTTCTCTCTGCTGCATATCTGAATCAGCCATGCTGCCGAGGGTCTGGTCCAGGCAGCTTCCCATCCAGCCTTTTGCTACTGCTCCTCCTGGGAGGCAGCAGGGGATGGCTCAGGTAGGTGGGGGCCCTACCCCCCACTGGAGACTTAATTGGATTCCTGGATCCTGGCTTCAACCTGGCCTCACTGGCTTTGCAGCGTTTAGGGAGTGAACCAGCAGATGGAAGATAACTCTTCTCTCTTTCTGTCTCTCCGCTTTTCCAATGGATAAAAAATAAACTTTAAAAAATAAGATCACCAGCACTTTTAGCTATGTAAATAGTTTCTACCTGTGAAACTAATACGAAAAACACCAAAGAAATTCACACTATTGTGTGATGGCAGATTCATTCATTCATTCACAGCTGTTCTAGGCTCTTGGGGCACAGGAGTGAGCAAGCACCCACAAATGTCCCTCTCCTTATAATGTTTTCATTCCCATAAGAGACAAATAATAAGTAATGGCACATAATAGGATAAACAAGTACTGTTAGCTAAAACTTTTATTTCGATTTTATATAATGCTGTGTTTACTGGATTGAGGGGTTGAGACATAAAATATATGTCTTACTTTTCAGATACACATTCTGTTTTCTGTTCCGTCAAAGTCAAGAAAAACAAAGTTTTGACAGGCCTAGAACATGGGGAAGGAGTAGAAATAGAAACATATTGAAATGTCTGCTGTTTGCCTGTTAGGACTTATAAGAGCAGTAGCTGTTACCTACGTCTGTCATCCATTGAAGAAACCACATCCTAGAGAGGATCAGAATCTAAGTCTTGGAGCTAAACAGTGTTTTGCCACTCATTTAGGATTTTATCTCTGTTGCCTCAGCCACGCATCCTCCCTGGATTTGCCTTTTCTGTTTGTATAATTACTTCAGCATTATTGCATAGCAATTCTGAGATCCCAAAACTTGGATTTCCCTGCTGCTTACAAGATTCAGAGGACTGCTGCTCTGAACACTTCAGACTTTGGAGGTATCCAAATTAAGTGTAGTGTGTAATCCTCCTAGGCCTTCTTTTGAAAGAAATGGACTCAGAGTAGGTATCTAAATACGTAAACAGCCATGACCACCATTTAACCTATGGTCTTTAGCAATTTACCCAACCTGCAAGTTTTGCTTTAATGAGATGTAGTTACCAAAAAAACCCCACCGGAAGGTTATTTTGCAGCTTTGAATTAATGAATTCAAACTATACTATCAAACTCAGAGCAGTATAATCATGAGATGGGTAAATTCACTAACATCAATGAGAAAGCTCCACTCTTAAGAGTGCTGGAGAGTAGAACCCCGTTGAAGGATGAGCAAAATGCTATTGCTGCATCTTAAATACATCCTGCTCTTACTGAAGCTATTGCCAACACCACTTTCCTGTTCTCTTACATGCTTTGTGCTGCAACGATGGAAGGAAGAGGGTTCAAGTTTGCAGCAAAGACAAAGAAAAAAATACTGGGTAGTTTATGTCCCTGTCATTTTAAAAATTAATTCTTTGCTCAATCTGAGGTTAATCTATCTCTAATAAGCATAGTGAAAATGCCATATTAAAATTCAGAATATAATTGGTAAATTCTTTTAGTGGATTTCAGGTGCTATATTTTTAAAATAAAGGGAATGGGAGAAAATGGTCTCCAAATTTGATAGCACAGCTCTGACACTGTACAAGGGCAGGTGTCCCTGCCTATGATACGATTTCCTGGGATGTGCAGTGGTCTTCTCGACAGGAACTGGAGGGACCAGGGTAAAGGGCTCTAGTGGCAACAGCCATCACGATGATCCCACTGACACCCCCTGCTCTAATTCCATGTTAGAAGCAATCTTATTGTACTTTGGCCTTCCATGTTGAAAAGTCTACTGGATAAAAATGTTCTGATATGCCTATGTTGAGTGTTTTATAATTTTGCCTTCTGTGTGCTTTTAAGACTTATTCATTCCCTTCAATTTCACATTGAATGTGAGTCTTTTAACAGTGTGAAACTGTGAGTCTTGTAAAATACTAAAATTACAGGGTTCTTGACAGTGCCTGAAAGCAAATGTAGCCAATTGTAGATATTGTTAAGATTAATATAAAAATCCCAGTATTATGGGTGAGCATTTGGCCTAGGGGTTAAGTATTTTTACAGCTTTACAGGTGGTCGAAGCTGAGGAAATTATGTTACCAAAATCATGGGACCACTTGGTTTCACCATACATTTTTTAAATATCTTTTTTCACTTGTATACTATCATTGATATAAGTGCAACAGGTTTAATAAATCACTGCACACATTACACCCTGTTCTGCCACTAGGTATTCTAGGTTAGTCAGTTATCCATGAACACTTAGCTAGGTAACATAAAGAATCCTGTAGCTGTTGTGGGGCCTGGCTAATATGCTGGGCTAAGTGACTCGAGGCAGCAGGCAGATCTCTCAAACTGCCTTCTCCTTTAGCTGGTATAGTGGAAAAGTTTACTAGGGTCATTTCCTACCAATGGTAGTTTCCTGAAAAAGATAGGAGGAGAACAGAAGAATAAACAGGAAAAGCATGTCAATTGGGAAATGCAATAGACCTAATATCTCTCTTTAGGGAGAAGTTTATGGCGAAAGCAAAAGTATTGCTTATCTGTTAACCTTTTGAAGATAAACTTGAGATATCAGTTGGCTCACAAGAGTAGGCAGAATTATCTTCTGGGTGTACCTGTGAAAACTCAGAGGTAGAGGTTTAATTCTTGACAGATTTCTCTACAGCTAGAAATTCCCTTTAATTTAACTTCAATCAGTGCTAAGTAGCAGCTGAGTCCATTCAATTTAGGCTACAATTGGTCAGAGGGGAATCCCACCAAGCTTCCAACAAAACCAGACATTCTGGGAAGATTGTTTGCCATGATTTTTGGAATCTGGTGCCATAAGATTCTTGCTGCCATATTCTGTCAGAGCCTTGTGTACCTGGCCTAGGTTAAGAATTGCTTTATTTGATCTTTTGTATCTGAATCCAAAAGGATATCAGAGGTGAGGAAGGGCATCCTACATATACTATCTCAAAAGGCCTAAACTGTAACAAAGTCTTGGCTGCCTTTTTATCCTGAAGAGAGATATGTACACAAGCAATAACTTGAACCAGGATTTTGAGGTCTCTTTGCATTGCTTGGTCAGAGTCCTTTTAAGATAATTGTTTCAGGCTGGTGTTGCAGCTGAGTTAAGCCGCTGCTTGCAATGCCAGCATCGCACTTCTGAGTGCTGGTTTGAGTATTGCTTCTAATCCAGCTTCCTGCTAATGAGCCTGCGAAGGCAGTAGATGATGGCCCGTGTGTGTGTAGTAAAAGGAAAGTGTATTTGGAGTCTGTATAAATGTTGGCTGTATTGCCATACTTCAGTTTTAAGGCTGTAGTCAAAGTGATGAGGCCTTCCATCCGATGGTTCACTCCCCAACTGGCCGCAACAGCCAGAGCCCAAGGACTTGGGCCGTCATCTACTGCTTTCCCAGATCCATAGTTGGATCAGAAGTGGAGCAGCCGGGTCTTGAACCAGCGCCCATATGGATGCCAGCACTGCAGGCCAGGGCATTAGCCCACTGTGCCACAGTGCCAGCCCCCTTCCCTCTATCATTAAACACCCTAAATGCTGCAAGTGGAATCTTTCCCATAGGAGTTTGGGGTCCAATTGCCAGTTTCTGAGATTTCCTTTCAGTATCTGGGGTAACTGATGAAATGGGTTCTGAGTAAGAGCTATCTTTCAGGAATGCTATGGTCTACGCTAATATATCTTTTTAAGCCCTTATCAGCCACCTTGAAATAAGGCTGAATTCTCTTCCTTGTCTTGTGTTGTCTTCCAAACTTTGTCTTAATTTTCAGGCTTGATGATATATTTTGATATATTTTTTTTTCATCCCAGAAACTAAGATAATAACCATACGGTCTCAATGCCCTAAATCCTGAGGCCTCTTTGATAATTCCTATTAGGATCCATTTGTAGGACTTCCATGGCACCCACAGCATATTGGTAAGGATGTTGAGCTACCAGAGAGTCAGCATTGGCTTGATATTCAGCCCATAGTTACTGCTTTTCTTCAAGGACATGATAAATGGGACAGGTTAGAGTGTAAGTCACACCCAAGTCAAGTGAAAGCACATAGTCACACCTGAAATTCCTTAGTAAGTCTGGTCTGGGCTTCTGACAACCTCGCTGGCTTTTGTCTCATTGATTTAAGTCAGTCATGTCCTCTATCCAAGGACAAGACTTACATGTGCCACTTAGCAGTGCCATTTAGCAATGAGTGATTCCAGCCATGCTACCCTCCAGCAGAGGGAGATGGTCAGATTGTACAGTGGAGGCAGTGGGCTACTAGCGGGTGAAAGAGGAACAGGGTAAGGGTTCCACACACTCTGAGAATAGTTACAGCAGTGGGACAAGGTGAGCTTGAGGCAGTTGAGCCCTGGGTGTTGGAGGACCCCTGCTGTTAATCTTCTGCTCTTTTGAATCTGTTAACTCTAGGAGGGCATGGGCATAACAAAGACTACAGCTACCCTAAGGGTGGAAATGCACCATGGCTTGGATATAAGGAGTTTGCGACCATTTTTGTTATCTTTGACAGAACATGTCAAGTGGAATGATAGCATTAAACTCAACAGTCCCATTTGGTGGCCAAGTTTCCCTGATCTCCAACCTATAATATGATCAGGAAGTGTTGCAAAAGAAAGTAATTTTTTTTTGGTTTAGAACAACTAGTCTAAAGGCGTCACAATTTTTGAGGAAACAACCTAGGGGTGAGTCCATGAGATGGGGAATTTCCTGTGGTTGAAAAGGCCTCTTCGTGGCCT